TGGCAGCTGCACCCAGAACAGATCTTGTGTCCATCCAGTTCATCTCTGATGCCTGGTGGGGAGGAGATTTGCGAGGGTGGCTGAGGGACATTGGACTCTGTGTTGAGGGCTTGAGAAGGTCAGAACAGCCACATTGGGTCAGACCAACGGTCCATCTAGCCCAGAGCTCTGTCTGACAACAGTGGCTCATGCAGGTGCCCCGGAGGGAAGAAACACAAGAGGGAATCCTCACGTCACCCATCTCCTGAGAAACAGAGGAGATGGCCACCATTCCTACCCAGCCTGGCTAATAGCCATCAATGGACCTAACCTGCATGAATCTATCTAACTCTTTTTGAACCCTGTTAAAGGCTTGGTACTGCAGCATTGCTTGTGTTTGCATTTCTGGCTTGCTTTCCATTTCCAAAGGCATTTCTGACTGTGATTTTGTGCTTTTTTTTTTCCCCAGAGGAATTTCTGTTTCTACTCTGTTGCCTGGCTGTTTCCTCTTAGTGTGTCTAGACTACCTAGTTTTGTCGACAAAAGTGGACTTTTGTCGACAAAACAATACCAGCGTCTACACTAACCCCGCAGCGGTTTTGTCGACGCTGGTATACCTCATTTTACGAGGCATAACACTTTCTGTCGACAGAACTCTGTCGACAGAAGGTGTTATTGCCTGTAACACTGCGTCCAGACTACGGAGTTCTGTCGACAAAGCGGCTTGCTTTGTCGACAGAACTCCATGTGTCTGGATGCAAATTGTCGACGGAAGTTTTGTCGACAGTATCTGTCGACAAAACTTCCGTCGACAAAACGCGGTAGTCTAGACGTACCCTTAGATCCCAACCCCAAAAGTGCAGGCAAAAGGCCTGCTTCTGCCTTTCTTGCTTGTTTCAAATTTGCGCCCTTTGCAGTGGAGTTTTCCCGTTTCTGACTTTGTCTTGCTTTGTGCCAGGCTCTTCAACCATCTATTGAATTCTTTTACCAAACACCGAGAGAAAAAGAAACGAAAATAGCAGAGGATGGTTTCGATCCATCGACCTCTGGGTTATGGGCCCAGCACGCTTCCGCTGCGCCACTCTGCTTCGTTGAGAAATTTTGTGCTCAACATCTTAGAAGAATCCTATTGCTGGTCAATTCCCCCCCCGTTTTAAATTCAAGCTATCACTGGTTGAATGGGCTGAAACATCAAAGGGGCGCTGGCCAGTTCTTGCTTCAGGAGAGTTGCATGCTGAGTCCCTTTCCGCCTGCACCACAGAGCACAGTAACCAGTCCTGTCCTTTTGCTTTGTCACAGAAACATGCCTGTACCCTGCCCACTGCAATGCAGGGTAAGGCGTTTGGCGCCTGCCTGGCTCCGGGCTCGCTTTCCGCAGCAGGATCACTGGGGAGGGCTGGGAGTTCCTTGCTCTCCTCCCTCTGTGTCTGTTTACTTGTTAGAAAAAAAGGGGACAGGTCTGACTGCACTGACTCCACATCTAATTTTATAAAAAGAAGTCTGTTGCGTTGGCCGGGAATCGAACCCGGGTCAACTGCTTGGAAGGCAGCTATGCTAACCACTATACCACCAACGCACATGCTATAGCTTTCGCTTTTGCTTTCCTTGAGCATTCCCAAAGCAGTGACTGATGTACTCCATGGAACAGTGTTTCTCAATTAGTGGTAACCTTAGGAAAGAAGGGGAGGAGCAGGAGACGTCAATACAACTGAAATTTGGAGAAAACAGATTTGTTTTAAGTTTTCTAGCGTTTCATTATTTTTGTACTTTTTACACCGAAAAAGTTCATGGCTCACCCAGCAAATGTGTTGCAATGGTAGAAAACAACAAATGTGTTGCAATTGTCGAAAAAAATTGTGTCTGAAAACTGTAGGTACTGGGAGTAGTTATAATTTTTTTAAGGGGTACTTTATAAAGAAAAGGTTGAGAAACACCGCCATAGATCATGTTTGCATCCCACTGGGTTCAAGCCACAGGCAGAGTTCTCCCCTCCCTGGGTTTGTGTTTCTTAAAAGCTGGTACATAGCAACACAACGTAAAAAATTCCCCTGCAAACAAGGCCCTTGGAAATGCTCCACTATGGCGCCCCAAACATCACACAGCTATTTCAGGATACCGGAGCTACCCTGTGTCTACACAAGCCGCCTGTCATTTCGAAATACTTTTTGAAATAATGGGCATGTTATTTAGCCATCCAAGTAAACCTCATTGCACGAGGGATAAGGAATGGCTCAAACTAGTGCGTTATTTCGAAATTTGGTGCTGTGTAGACATGCTGAATTTCATAATACGCTATTTTGAAATAGATTTGAGATAAGAATCTCTGTGTGGCTACATCCCCAGCACACCGGAAGGACGCTTGACCCTGGGTCTTGTCCCACCACAGTCAAAGGGTATGTGAACACGGCAGCATTATTTCGGAGTAACAAAGCATGCGAGCACGCGGCAAGCCGCTGTGTCGAAAT